GTACAAAAGTATCGCATATACTCATCATACGTACTCTATCTACAATTCCCATCCCGTTCTCGCAAGCCCAGTTTAGTAGTTCCCCAATTACACAAACCGCACAGTTCGTGCAACTTAATTTTGGCTTAAATATGCATTTGATATCAGAATTGATCATCTTTTAAAATTGGCATTTAAATAATTTTTTTAAAATTGATATTCACATTTTAATTTAATTTATTGTTTTTTGTTTTTATTAATGATATCAGCTTTAATAAATAATATAAAATCCTCAATAATAATTTTATCATATGTTTCTTTAGGACTTTAAAATTTATAAACAAATATCAAAACTTTTTAAAAATTGAATATAATTTCTACATAAAATCAAATTAAAAATCTCAAGTTCCACCAACAACCGATCGGTCTATTCTCAAAACAAACACACGCGCTCTTCATTCCACTGAGAATCTTTGTGTTCGTATTATTTCACGGATTTTTCTCTGATTTTCCAATAAATTTTACTTTGATTTCGTTCTATTCTGCTTTGAAAAAAAGTTGGAGCGAAAATTGGTGCCAGTAATGCAAGACATCAACTCGATCGAAGGTGGCTGCATATTCAGCGGCGGTGGAGGAGGAGATAGAAGGCTACGACAGCACCACCACCAAGCCCTCAAGTGTCCACGTTGCGACTCTCTCAACACAAAATTCTGTTACTACAACAACTACAACCTCTCTCAGCCACGTCATTTCTGCAAGGGCTGCCGTCGTTACTGGACTAAAGGTGGCGTCCTCCGTAACGTCCCCGTGGGTGGTGGTTGCCGCAAAGCCAAGCGCACAAAAACAAAGCTTCATCAGACGCCACCGCGGCTGCCGCCTCTGCTATGCCGCACCCGGGGCAACAACAACACCGCGATCAAGCTAAAGCGAATTCTCATTCTAGCAGCGAGAGTTCGAGTCTCACTGTAACAAATTCTAACGTTGCGGTGACTAAAAACAACGGCAGCAGTTATTATGCCGGTGGCGCAGCGGAGGCGGTGTCGGCTGTAACCTCTCGTGCGAACTTTGTAAGCGTGAGCGAGCCGAAGTTTCATCGAAACCCTCATAATTTGGGGTTCGAGCCAGGATTGCTGGAACAAGGATCGGACCGTGGGATATTTTCAGGAATTGGGAGTTTCACGAGCTTGATTACATCATCAAACAATGAAATGATGTCGTTTAGTATCGACAAGGCATTAAATGATGGACAGTGGCCGCAACAGCTGAAGGAGGAGCAAAATATGATGAGTATGTGCGAGGAGGAAATCACCGGAGGATTGCTTGATCAGACGGTGCAGGTTGAGCTATCAAATATGGCTAGTAGATCGGATAATGGGTTTGGAGCGTTGGACTGGCAAGGGGATGGAGATCAAGGGTTGTTTGATCTTCCTAACGATGTTGATAAGACATATTGGAGTCAAGCTCAGTGGACTGATCAAGATCATCCAGCCCTCTTTCTCCCGTAAATTATCTCTTATCCTTCTTTCTTTCTTTATTAAATTATTTATTTTAACTACAAATTTGAAAGAGTTAAAAAGAATCGAAGAGAGCCTCAAGGGTTAAGGCAGGATTTAACCTTTTTCGTTGTCAATTGTGATAATATACAGTCAAAGTGTGTAATTTATATAGTTGTATGGGTTTATGAATGTAACTGTTTCTTATTTTGTAAATTTTAAATATTTTCTTCCATTTTTATAGTACTGAAGTTTTATTTTGGTGATTTTTCGAACGAGTTTGATTATTTCTTGTGTTTTCGTCTGCTTAACTTTCATGTTAGTTCTCTGTCTCTCTTTATTATTTGTGTTTGATATGTATCTTTGACTTTGAAGAAGAATCGTTATTATGATGGTTTGAAATGAGATCTAGACCTAAATTTTAATAAGATGACCTGAATTTGAGAGATAAAAATGACAGAATAGAATATTGATTGAGTCGTTGAATAGGTTAAAGGTGAGGGATAAAGTCTATCGATTGATCAATTAGGATTACCATGAAATTTGTTATGCCAATTCACTGTCGTACATTTTGTTTGGTCACTGAAGATGACAAAACATGTTAAAGTATTGTGTTAGTGAGACTGACGTAGTTGTTTGTATCCGAATCATTTAAAGAGAATAATAATATTTTATTTTATTATTAAAATCATTCAATGAATTCGTTTTTATTGTTAAATTTATTTATAGCTTTTGTGCATGGTACTAGTGTTACTTATTATCATCATCAGCCTCATCACTAATCTCATTTTTAATTAATTAAGTATATTTAGTTTATTTAATATGAGAGTCAAAAGGGCAACTCTTTTGGCTTGATTTTGATGGAGAGGAAGGGATAGGAAACTGTTGACGGCGTACGAATACTCCTATAGTCCTTACATTATGAAAGATAGAAGTTGTTTTTGGTAGGTCCTGGGAGAGTTCGTGACTTGTCCCATGCGTGATCATGACTCCACCATTGGCTGTGATGAGACACCGGAAACGGCCTTAATGCGTAAGACCGAGTGGTAGGTTGGCCATTTCTCGGCCGGGGTCGGTTTGTCCTTCCCTCTCATTGGTACGGTTATTAGAAATTTGAGTAGTTTTGTTATTCAATACGTTCATGATGAGGGTGGTTATTGGGTGAAGTGTTGATGGATGGGGTCAGAGCATGTGGAGAAGTGGTCTCAAGTCTCACTCCACTCACCACCATAACCAGTTTTGGGTTCTCAACTGTGATGAATTATCCCGCACACCACTTTTGCATGCCCTTTTGAGTTTTTAGTAAAGTTTATTATGGGAAAGTGAACTTCCCATGTCACATTGTATCTTAATTATAATTCAATGTATTGTCGATAATTGATGATGGAATGGATTTGAGTGGTTTCTTTGCATCATTTTTGTGTGCATTAAATGTGTGGTTTTGAACCATTGGACTTTAGGGTAAGGTGTGCAAGTAGTGGGGGTTAAATTAGGTGAGGGTTTCTGGTGTGGTCCCAAATTGACATCTTTGCAAGACTTGGGGGTTGAGTTTTGCTCAAGGAAGGGGATTGCCTTTGGTACAGAGTCTAAACACAGGGGGGCATTATCATTCATCAACTTGGCTAGGAGTGAGGCTGGACCACCACTGGTCCTTGACCTGCTCCTCTGCTGTCCTTGTAGTTTGGCTAAATGTTGCTGTTCATGGGGTCCTGTGGTCGGTCAAATTTTAAAGCTGAAAAACACCTATGCTTAATCCATACTAGATCACTCTATCGGTTTAGGCATGCATGACAAGTTATAGTCATGTGAGCGGCCATTGCCAATCTTCCATTTTTGTTTTAACCACATGCCCCAACCAGCAGGATATGGACTTCCTCCAGGAGCAGCAAAAGTCTACTGTCAAGCTGGGATGGACTTAGAGGGAGACGGTTGAGGCAATTGCTCTTTAAAATTTTTAAAATATCATATATTTTTTATATTTTTTATTGATAATTTGTTTTTATATCTAGAATTTTATAAATTTACAATCTCCTAAAATTTTAGAAGTTTATTTCCTCAAGCATAAAATCTTACATTCGTCTATGTTGCCAAGTGATAAAAGGCATCATTTTTTCTATTTTCTGTTCTAGTTTCGACCTAAATCGACTCTAGAATAATCAGAATCCGAAGTCTAACTCTTTGAAATCATTGATTTTTCACAAGGTCAAAGAGCAACAGAGATGGCTGGGCGCTGGTCATGGACATTGCCTTGATAGCCTAATGAAGGATCATTTAAAGATTTATTGACAATGGACCATGCTGTGATATACACTATATTTTAAATTTTATAAAAGTCGATATACGAAACATTGTTCAAAGTTAATCAAGTCAAATTTAATGAAAAAAAATTAAATTAATCGAGTAGATCAGTTATATTTTATCGTTCAAAATTTATTTATTTTTATGAAATTAAATCAAGTTTAAAGTTTAAAAAAATCTAATGAGTTGAATAAAATATATTTGTTTGAGCTAAATTAAATAAATCAATGGACTTTTGTTGGTAATATGAATAAACTTTAAGCCAAAATACAAAATTAAGAAACATATATATATATATATATATAAAAACTTCTTTCAAAGATAAATAGAAAAATTTAATATGGTAAATTAGATTTTATAATTTAATTGTTTAATGTTTAAGCCTAATAAAACTTTAATTAACTCAAAATTTAATTATTATATTACTTAATTTGTTTGAAAATATTTTACAATAATTATATATATTTTTTATAAATTTATGGAACTTTCTATATTATATATATAAATTTATAGGGAAAAATATAGAATTTTGTTTTTGGAAAATCTAAACGTTATTTTTAATTGTGAAATCATCCTTTCGGATTGCCATCCGTAAATGAGAAGGCAATGGGTACAAAGGTCTGGTAGTGAAGAGCCAGCGTTGATTTGCTTATCAAAGGCGACAAAAATGACCACATCTTAGCTGGACATGTGAGAAGAAAGCATGGTTATGACATGAAAATGAAAGGAAGCAGCTCTGGAATATGTAATGCCGTAAGCAGCAAGAGACTTCCAGCCTTAGCTATGAAGGTCTCTGTCCGTCGTAGTCAAGCAAGACAGCCGGTTTTCATTAGCCACCTATGGACTCAAAAGCACCATTGATGAAAACCTGATTACCTAGTACATGTGTCCATGATACGTATTCGGACATGAGTATTACAGAGTATGATTCTCCTACTATCTACATATCCGTCACTCGGCTGAAACCAGGTCATCAATCCCTTGACAAAAATCAAGGACATTACTGATTCTCAGGTAAAACTTGTCATATTGCAATTATGGAACAACAGATGATTTGTATAAAATTGAACTTTTGTGTGTCATTGACGGTATAAAGAGACAAAAGACAATCTTTTTCTTGTTTGTTGGAAGGTAAAAGAACACATTGTATGACAACTGAAAAGCATCATTGATAGATTTATAATTTAGTATCACACCATTGTTGAAAAGCATGTTTTCCGAATCCTGCATAGTATACACATGAAAATCGAATCAAATAAGAGGAATTACAGTTACTGTTGTGCAAAAGGAGCAAGGGGAGGTTCACATACAGCAGAGAAAACAGGTTCTCCAACTCTGGTGCTTCCTTGGCCGTCTCGGGTCAGCTTCTGCCATTCTTACTGGACTGCCACTCCATTCAGATGGCAATCTGTTCCATAAAACCAAACAATGATCTGTTGATGTTTTTTTTTTTTCAGGATAACTGAGAAAAGCACAATAAGAATTCATGGAGAGGGAACAAGTTACATGGGGGAAAGCAAACGAATGAGAGCTGGTAGTGCTACTACTTGATCGCAGAGAAACACTGCCTGAACATGGTATTGGTCCTGAAAGAGGACTTTTTGCAAACGGATCACAATCGCCATGAGTAATTTCGTTGGCGATGCTTTGTCCAGAATTTGTTAGGCTTCTTGACATCCTATCCTCGGTCCTTGATAAGCCCTCAGTTTTATGAGGCTGTTGACATCTTGAACCTTGCATAAATTCCTCAAGGCTACTCGTGGGATTTAAAGATGGATCAGAAAGGTGAAAGGTGTTTCTACTCTCGGCTTCCACTCCTCGGTCGTCAGTTGTTTTAGTCACAGATGGTTCCATTGGCTTCAATGTAACTGAATCTCCTATTTGGAACTGCATATGCGTTCAATGAATCAAATCCTGAATATTTTATGTGAGGAACACTTCAAAGAATGATTGAAATATCAATCATGGGAGCATGTAGCTTCTTACCTCTTTCACGTGCCGCGTCCTGGATGCCATATTTATGATGGACTTATCATGCAAGTGATCATCTCTTTCATCGGAATCTTCTTCGCCATCCTTCAATAAGTCCTCGAGAGCATGTCTTTTCCTTACATATTTCTGAAAATCCTGTTCAATCTCATTGGAAAGAGAGGACATTATCCCTAGAGATTTTCCAGGTTTTTCACTATACTTCAATCGACTCCATGAAGGAACTCCCCTGTCAATGAAGATATCTTTGATTGACTGATAATCACTCTCTTGAATAAAAACAACCAGCTCCGGCGCATCAGCTGCAGGAAAGGTCTCACTCGTATCATGAACTAAGTTTACTTCCTTTGTTCCTGCTTCACTAGGACTTGAAGCAGTATTCGATGCCCCTCGTATCGGATTCTTCCAAGCCATGAAACTGTTAACTCCATGGTTCTCTGCTCCCCCATCCCCCTTTTGGCTGTTAACTTCTGTATTGGTCTCTACATTATATGTTCCCATCCCTGTAGAGATTTCAGAGCCAAGAGTGTATCAGCATGAAGAAATCATCATCAATCCATCATCGAGGATCATCCACTGCTGTAATGATTACTCGAGTATTCAAGAACTCGTATTGGTTCTACGTCGAGTCTACCGGAAATCAAACAAGGTAAAAGGATGCAGGAATTTTCTTCTGCTGGTACTAATTCTTAGCCAAAACAAATTGTTCACTTAAACGTCCACAGTTGCCTGAAATCCAATAAGCCACCATGAGAAAGAGGGAATTCAGTTCCTTGTACTCCACATTCTCGGCATATATATTGTATCAGCAATCAAATATAATCATGGTCGAAATGAGTGTTATCTCTCTCGTCGGATTAAATCGAGGATCGCCCGTGGTTTCTATACTCAAGTTAGGCCACTAAACCAATTGCTAGGAGATTACAAGTTGCTTTACACAAGAATCAAAGATGAAAGGATCGACAATCATGAACCAAAAGAAAAGGCACATCATATGAATGAAAATGGGGGAAAAGTAGCTGAATTAGAAAACTGATCTCCCTAACACAAAACTTCAAAGAGAACCCAATGGAGAGAAAGACACATAGATGACAACAAACAAAACACAGCACATGAAAATTCTGCAAAATCTCTGCAGTTTACAAATAACACTCAAGGATTCAGCAAATGCATGTGGACTAAATGTAATGTTCTCTTAGGATATTAATCAAACAGCTTGTCCTACATGATGAAAAGAACACTACCTTGAATCAGCAAAGGAAAAACCCAGGCAGGTTTTCTGCATTTCTTCTGCAAATTTATATGAAAACAAGTCATTAATCAAAGAAACATGAATGAACATTAAAAACAAATAGAGAGAGATGTGAAAGAGCAACATACAAAATTGAGCCAATGGATGTTTAAAGGAAAGAGAAAAAGCAAAAAGGTTAACAAATAAATGGACAGCTCAGAACATTAAATATCAATAAAACCATAAATTCAAACTCAGAAACCATAAACTTCCAATTTGTAAACATAAACGTTTTGTCATTTTCTTCATATGAACAACGTTACAAAGGCTATGATGATCCTTCCATACATGGAAAAGAGAAAATTTTGACCATTCGGTAGAAGTGAGGCTGTTTCTCTATAGTTTCGAGCAATTGAATTTGTAGGATATATATGCTGTTGTCATAGAATCTAAATGTATACTATCTTGTAATTATTCGAGACTATTTAATTATAAATTTATAATTCGAATATAAATATTGTTGAATGAATATTATGATTTACATGTAAAAGGAAAGTTGGTCTCTTTCCTTAATTGGATATATGTGATTATTTGAGTTGGATATAATAGAAGGTTTAAAAAAAGATTTGGATGTCATCAAATCTCATCATAATCTGGAGGATTATTATGCAAAATATTCTTTTGATATCGTGGGGGATATACAAGCTAGTTGGTCCGACTTACCTATAAAAAGGATAAATATTGATTAACTTACCTATTTGAAAGATTTATAAACTAAAATAAAATTAGATTTTTGTTACACAAAAAATAAGGTACAGTTAAAGTAATATAATCTAAATGTGAAAATCTAAAAGACTTGAACAAAAATAAAATCAAAATTTTTCATTGAATGTATATTTTATTTTTCACAAAAACTTGGTAGCTATCAATAATTTCTTTGTCTCTATTTAAACTTAGACAAAACATTTCTTAAGCAGAAGATGTGTTGTTGTGAATGCAATAAATAACATCAATCTGTCATTACGATAAACAAAATCGTACCATAAAAATAGATGAACAATTGTGCCATAAATCAGATAAAAACTAACGCTTCAAGAATATGCGAGTTAATTGCATCATATGTCTCTAAACTATAACTCTTATTTTAAATTGATCTTTAAACTTTTGGATATTCTATTTTCATCCTCAAACTATGATTCTAATTTTAAATTAGTCCCTAAACTTTTTGAACATTTTAATTTCATCCCTAAACTATGTCTCTCTTTCTGAATTGGTCCCCAAACTTTTGAATATTCTAATGGTATCCCCAAATTCATCCAAATATGTAATTAGTTTCAACCATAGTTTAACCTAAATTTTATTTATTTTTCAAACATACAATAAAATAACTGGATCTAACAATTTTATTAACAAGGGATGTGATTAGTATATACATATAGTTTGGGATGAAATTTGAATGTTCAAAAAGTTTATGGATTAATTTAGAATAAAGGTTATAGTTTGGGGATAAAGTTGAAATGTTCAAAAGTTTGAGAATTAATTTAGAAGGATAGTCATAGTTTAAAAATGAAATTGGAATTTAAAAATTTAAGGACCAATTTAAAATGAGAATTATACTTTGAGGACATGTAATACAAAATATACTAAAAAGAAGAAAATCAGAATGGAAGGATATTTATATCTAAATTAAAAGAAAACTAAGTAAAAAGACAAAAAAAATAAGAACAAGAGAAACGACGACACTTGAAAATCAGAATGGAAGGATATTTTTGTTCTATTTTGATACCTAAATTTTATTTTTTTCAAAATCATACCTAACATTTAGTTTATGTTTCAATTTAACACCCCGCCATTAAATAATTAACATAATTATTGACGTTACATTTTTATCATTTTGAATGATGATATGATATTATCTTACGATGGCACGTCAACATCACCATTAAAATTTTAGTTTTTAATAAATTATGAAAGGGTGGAAAAGATTATTCAAATTATCTCTTAAGATTTTATATCAATAATGCGAATTTAAAAAAAAGTTAATAAATATTTTGGAATGTGAAAATACACAATTTCGAGAGGTATAAAATTAAAGTATCAAAGTAAAAATGTAAAATTTTTAGCTTGAGACCACCTCGACTCGTCTCTTTCCGTCCCTAATTACAATAATTATTTTTTATGATAGAGTAGATTTAGATCCGAACCACTTAATTTGCTGTGAGTAATGAAATCCATGTGTTTAGCCATGTCCGGCGTCAAGTGATTTTCCCAGTCTCTGATTCTTCCTTCGCGAAAGAAGAGATTATTCTTCATCTCCCATGGGCCGTTCTTCCCAACCTTTCCATCCTTGTTCACTTCCAGATTCCTTAAATTCTCGAAGCTACACATTTCCACGATCTTCTCAACCATTCCTTTCTTCTCTTCCTCTAGTGTGAATCCATAGCCCATGAACTCAGCTAATTTCTTGGTGTAAAAACATGCATCTTCCATCATCTCTTCGTATTTCAAGAACAAGATTCTGTCCGGCTGTTCCAAACTTGCATTCCAATACCCTAAAACATGATCCCAATACGGTCCGTAGAATGATTCTCCATTGCAGAAAAGCTCGAATGCCTTGTCCAAATGGACTGGTTCCATGTTTCTCGACGTTGCGAGTTTTGCCAGGAAGTGATACATTGAAACAAAGGTATCCTTTGGGTCTCTACAAACGTAGACGATTCTACAACCGGACACGGATTCCGGAAGAGAAGAGAAGGGGAGATGGGTGGCTATTAAAGGGTTGTTGGGATCACGGTTGGTTACGGAGATCTCCAAAAGGGGGAGACATCCATGTGGCAACTTGGAATGAAAAGGGTTTGCGGCGGTGGAACCGTCGTCGACGACGGTGGTTCTCGAGACGATGGCGAAAGAAAGGGCCTTCAGCCAGGTTGTGCCGGTTTTCGGAGCGCTACAAAGAAAGACGTCGGAAGATTGAGCTTGGAATTGTCGTTGAGCTGACAAGGTACGCGTCACTACCGCCATGTCTGGGTACCAAAAACCTTGGTACTCAACGAGATCGTGGTTGAATAGATTCAAACCTGCTCGTTTCTCAAGGGTTGACAAAATGTCTTCATCGTTACAGATTTGATTTCTCTTGGACTCCATGAAAGGAAAGATAATGAACTTTGGAAAGGAAAAGCAAGTCACCTTGTGGACGTAAATGCTGAAGAGAGGGGCATGGTTTTGTAGGTAAACCAGAGTAGATGTAACTTAACTATTTATTGAATCGTTACGATATGAGTATTAAATTTAAAAATATAATTAAATTTTTACAATTAATTATAACGTTTTAATGATCGATTTATAATATTTTAAATATATTTTATTAAAAATAGTTAATTGTATCACATGTCCTCAAAGTATGTTCCTATTTTTAAATTGGACATTAAATTTGTAATTCATCCCTAAACTATGATCATCATTCTAAATTAGTCCTCAAACTTTTGAACATTCCAATTTTATCTCAAACTATATGTATATACTAATCACATCCCTTGTTAATAAATTTGTTAGGTCAAGTTATTTTATTATATGTTTAAAAGAATAAATTTGAGGTTAAACTTCAGTTCAACCTAATTACATATTTGGATGAGTTTGGGGATGAAATTTGAATATTCAAAAGTTTGTGGGCCAATTTGGAAATAGAGTCATAGTTTAGGGATGGAATTAGGAGGTTCAAAAGTTTAAAGACTAATTTAAAATGAGAGTCATAATATGAGGATAAAATTAGAATATTCAAAAATTTAAGAACCAATTTTAAAATAAGAGTTATAGTATGGGGACATATGATACAATTAATTCTTTTTAAAAGTTTAATAATCAATACGAACATTTTAACATATTTAAGTGACCTCATATATACTTTACTCATTTTTATTTTATTGTTTTGTAATTAAATTCACGATTGTTTTTGGATAAACTACCAAAATGACCACTTCCATTTTGTATGTATTCACTTTTGGTCATTGAATTTAAAAAAAATGTTTTGGTCATTTACCAGAATTGGGGATTTTGAACGCAGATTATGAGGAGGCTAGTTGCTTTCACCTGTCTTATCATCATCATTGTCTCCATGGCAGGTTGCAGAGAAGAAAAGGGAGAGGGAGAGGAAGAAGAAGAAGTGAAAACATGGAAGTTTTATTGGAAGATTATGCTTGAGTCAAGCATTTTACATGACTGGTTATATAGAAAACATGGAAAACCATAATAGAGTGGAGTGTTTGGTGACATGTATCACCATCTAATTCGAGATAAAATTTATAAAATTGAATTAAAATTAAGATTAAAATGATAAAATATTGCACTATTTAATACGAGACTAAATTTATTAAATTGAATTAAAATTAAGATCAAATTGACAAAATATATAAATGTTGAGGATTAAAATATATCTATACAATTTTTTAACATCCACATCATCTCCTCCATTAAATATTAAGAGCAAATGGTTTGACTGACTACGATTAAATAATTAGATGATATGATTGATAAAATTGATAAATCGATGATCAACTTGAAAAGTTAAGTGGTCATTTGTATAGTTTACCCTTGATTATATTAATTTATTTTTATATCTAATGAGTTGTGTTACGTGTACGAGACAAAATAGCTGCAGTTGTTGCATAGCGCATGCACCCCAAATGCACTACCATAATTTTACACCAACTGAGCTGCTAAACTGATTTTACGAATTCGTATTTAATTTCATGTTTTATAATATATTATCATTTCATATATCAACACAACGCTACTTAATAATTACATCACCGGAATACACAGACACAAGTCACATCACAGTTTGTGACATGCATGCATGTATATTATACCATCGGATTACACATAGATACAGTCACATATCGGTTTGCGCCATGCATAAATGTATCTTACATCACCGGATTACACGTAGACACAAATCACACATCAGTTTGTGCCATGCCTGCGTGTATAATAAGCATACACATACATACATGTGTATATGTGTGTGTATATATATATAAATGCATTAAATTCGCATTAAAGAAGGTATTTTTACTTGGTTTTTGACATTCAAGATGGGCGAATCATCCATGTTGGCAGTAGCACATTGGAGTTGCGATGTGCTGGACTAGGATTACCTTCCTCTTCTCTTCCATCGCTCCTTGCTTCACACGTGCCTCTGCACAATGTCAAGGATAAACATTTTGATATGGTTATAGGAATCACGTTCGTAAAATTCAGATCGGACCGATCCATTCAACCGGTTGAATCAACATTTGGGGGGGGGGGGGGGACCTGATGTTCAAGGAGTGCACTTGTTGTGGCAGAAGCATGGAAGAAGAATCCTGGCAATTGTTTTGTTGTGACTGTTGGACAATGACCTTCTCCTGCTCTTTTACCTACATTTGGCTCAACATCATCATCATCACACAATGTCAGAAACAAGTTCACTGGATTACAAATTTTGTGGATTTACCTTCTTCGCAAGGATATTATTCTGCGCTTGCAATGCTTTATCCTGCATACACGGAAGATGTCAAGCAGTCTCTATCCGGTAAACAATTCAGTTGATTCATACAACCACAAAATACTTATAATTTCATGCAAAGGTATACCTTTTTCTGAAGGTCAGAAATTGATTCAGACATGAGCTGATTCTGCAAATGAAAGGCCAAATCATACAGGGCCAAATGCTATTTAATATATATATTCTGCAAGTGGTTTTACCCTTTTGAGCGTATGTGCTTAAGGGCAGAATCGATCTGTTGCTCCAAGTTTTGAAGCTCTCTTAGGCTCAAATTCTCAAGATCTTCCCCCATATAATGCCTGCAAAAGTGTGCAATGAAACTTGATTTCTACTTTACATGGTGAAAATAACCAGATACAAGCTTTGGAATCAATTTGATACCTTTGGTTTCTCTGTAAAACCTCCATCCTGGCTTTGAGTTTTGCATGTTCCAGGGTCCAGCTTCCCTGTAAAACACCTTGAAATTATGCACCTTCAAGTCTTCAACATGCTTCATTGAATACTATGGTACTCAACACTAACGTGTACATGATGGATATATGCATATGTTCGATACGAATATGTTCAATTTTAAACATTTTTACTTATATGCATCGACTCGAATATCAAACATCAATAATTCGAGGAAGATGAAGGGCAGGCAGGGGATTCGGTCCTGTATGAAACTTTCCAGGAAAATTGTCAAATAAAGTGGTAGGGGGGTTTACATTTTGTTCAATTTCATGTGCAGCAAGTTGCCTCTCCTCATAAGAACACCTTTCATACCGCTCAAGGATCCTCTCCATGCTGCACAAGACATCAAATGTGATTTATGGAACCCTCAAGCATAACAATAATCAAAAAAATAAAATGGATGAAAAGGATTGAGAATGAGTCTTTCTCAATGGGAGATTAATTATTACATCTCACTTTTTAGCCCATCTGTTTGTTCCATTCCAAACGGATTCGAATGTATTCGATACGAGTATGTTTCCTACATGAGTATATTTAAATTGTTTCTAAATATTGTCTAAACTCGACTCAACGCCCCTATCCTATGAAATTCATTTGAAAGTAGAAAGAGGGAGAGAAACAATAAGAACAGAGACAAATCCCAAAGAGCAACGTATCAACATAAATTATATTATACTATTTTATGGTTAAAATATGGTTTTGAGCCCCTGCACTCTTTATTATTGATGTGAGAGCTCATTGCCCTTCCCATTTTTAGATTTAATTGCTTGTCAGGTCCATCTAGTTTTAAAATAATGCAAATTAAAGCCTTGGCTCTCCAATTTTTAGGTCAAATTCCTTTTTAAGTACCTCTAAGTTTTTACGGTAGACGAGTTAAGCCACGATCCACTATTTTTCGGTTTGAATACTTCTTAAATCCCTATTAATTTTAAAATCAAATAAATTAGAACATGACACCCTAATTTTAGATCGATTACTTAATAATTATACTATAACCCTCATTTTATTACTATTTATATTTTCCCCAAAAAGTTCATCCTAACTTTGTCTTTGCTCTTCGTACGTTTGAAGTTTAGTCTATCTATTTTTATTTTCAAAAATTTAATCCTTTTACTTTTTGGATTTAAAAATCAAAGTCTAATACGCTGTTAAAATTCTTCTGTTCAGTTTAGCTCCATTATAACATCATCTTTTTAGTCGCATGGTATCAGAGTTTTTCTTTTTTATATTAAAATTCAACAAATTTAATACAAGAATTTTAATGATGTTACTGATTGGATTTAAATTTTAAAAATAAAAAGGACTAAATTCTAAACAGGGATGGACCTAGAGAGGGGCTGGTGGGGGCTCCAATTCATATGTATTTTATGTATTTTCTATTAAAAATATGTTTTCTCCCTCCTAAAATTTTATAATTTCCTCCCTATTTAAAAGTTTACAAATTCGCCCTTCATATCCTTGATTCTAAATATGAAAAATAAAAAGGATTTGGAGCATATCATATCCTTTTGTTTGTATATTATTATATTATAAAGCTACTATCTTCTTTTTCATTCTTTTCAATAGAGGTTTCACTATCTTCTTTTTAACACAACTGTAGTCATGCTCGATTCTTCTTACGTACAACACTAGACATGCATGCATTTCAATTTCCATGCATAATAATGAAGTTTTTACTATTAATAGAATAATAATAAAATATTTATTATAATAATAATAATAATAATAAAATAAGTGCTAGTTTCATACAATTTTTTTTTATCAATCTAGGGTGAGATAATATATGTTCGAAAGACTTAACCATTTAACAATAAATGTTCAAATACCTTACGAATGAAATGTTCGAATCCAAGACCTTTAGAAATCACAAACATTTCTTTAATTACTGAATAACTTAAATTATATTTAAAATGTAATTTAACATGAATAGGGATGTGATTTAAGCTTAACAAAAAAATAAGAACTTCAATAATAAAAATAAAAATACTATTCTAATTTCTAATGGCAATGTTGTAATACAATAAATAATAAAAAAATACTTTGAAGATCAACGAAGCTTATGATATATTAACAAGAATATTATTTTATTCTTGTTTGATATTAGATTTCTCGACTCGAATAACTTTTTTCTTTTATTATCAAAATTAATATCTTTGAATGTTATAACGATTCAAAATTTTATATACACAAAAACTATAACCATATTCCAATAATTCATTCACCAGAAGAACTCAATGGAGGGGCTATGGCCACCCAAAGTAAAATTGTAAATAAAACCCTTTTATAAACATAAATCACAATATGTGAATTTAAACTTAGTTGTATGTATATATTATCAATATCTAATTAGTTTTTAATTCTATGAGATTGATAATATATACACACAACTAAGTCTTTTCTCATATTTTTATTTTAATATTATTTTTATATCTCAAACCATGACTCTATTCACTCTCCTCTATTTTTTTATAGTATTTTAAAATTAAAATAAAATGAAAAAATACATCGGAAGAAACCAAAATTTGATTTTCCCTTAGATTTTTTAATCGATAAAAATTTTATCAATTCCAAATAACATTTTAAACACTTTTAGTCTCTTATTTTATTCTGTAAATAAATATAAAATCCTACTAATTATTCAATATTTTAAGAGTTTATTTTGAATGTCAAAATTTACTACTATAATTACATTTCATTTTTCCCAAAAAAAATATTAAGTAAAGAATTTATAAAAAAACACTGTATAAATCAATATTTGCTCCATAAAGTCATATATAAACATACATATTTTGATAGATAGAGTTCCCAAAATAAAATATTAGTATATTTGTATCTCTTCTCATATCTAATATACATACACACAAGTTTTATCATATGCACGAGATAAAAGAACAAAAACATTATATATAAATAAATATATTTATAATATTTACTCAATAAGATATATATAAATTCAGTAATCACATATTTAATCTATATATATATATATATACATCAAACAGTAAAATGACAAAGTTAAAAGAAATCACTATGAAAACAGACACTGTCCCATCCAACTGTTCACCTCCTCAAGGAGAAAAAACCTCACATTCAAACTGATTCGTACAGATTTCTTGAGAGAAGTCAAAATTTTAGGGGTATGAAGTATGAACCCTATTCACTTCCCACTCCACCAATGGCATCAAAGGGAATAAACCAGGTGCATGTCAATCGTTTTCACGTGTAAGAGATTTCATTTTTTTTTTCTCATCATAAACATGTAAATATATGTCTTGGATTGGATAAAAACACTAAAATCCTAAAAGGGTTGGGAGTGGAATTACCTATTTTTTACTTCTAAAATTAATATAAATTAGTTGATCATATTTTCATATATAATGGGATATGAGGAGGTAAGATAGTAGGTTGTCCCCAATGTTCAATAGGATCCGTACGAGACATCTAACAGTCAAAATTATAAATTGATCGCCGAAAGACTCGATCCTACGACCACAAGGTTAAAAATAATATCCAAAGGTTAACAACCATAAGCACCTAACAACAACCCCCCAAACTTTCCTTAAAATCATGCATGCTTTCAAGTCCAAGCAGGCTAGTCATATGCAGTACAATCTTAAGGTAATTGACATAGATTCAGAACAAGTGCAGCAATCGAAAAGAAAAATAAAGGAAGATATGGTACCAGGAATCTGAAGAGTATTCAAAGAGCTTCCCCTTAGTGGAGAAAACAATCAAAGCAACCTCAGCATCGCAAAGAACAGAGATTTCATGGGCTTTCTTCAACAACCCAGACCTTCTCTTAGAGAAAGTGACTTGCCTGTTGATCTTGTTCTCGATTCGCTTCAGCTGAACCCTACCCCTCCCCATGCTGAGATATTCTCTATTTCCCTTTCTACTCTCCAGAAGAAAAACAAGGCAGAAAAAAGGATTGGGTATATATGGCTTTCTTTTTCCTATGGGTTTCTTTTATCAGTGGTTCCCTTGATATCTCTTTGGGCTACTGCCCAGGGTATTTAAGCAGGAGGAGAATTGGTGCAAGTGTTTTATGCTTTTTATATATATGGAAAGAGAGATGGAAGAGAGAGGAATTGAGATTTGGGATGCAAAGAGGGAATGGGTGGTTTTGAGAAACTAGAGTGGTTTCGTCAAAAGAGTTGTCGAATTTTCATTGGCTTAAACTCCTGCCACAGTCGTTATTATCTGCTTCTCTACACCTCGTGGATGTTATTTGCTCCTACCAACACTTTCGGGACAACTTATTAATTCCAAAAAGCGGACTTTATCTACGGATGTTAATATTAAAAAAATATTAATATTTTTGATGAGGTCTTTTTTTTTTAATTTTATATTAGGTTGTATTTTCATAGATATTCTATTCATTAATAGTATAATTTTTTAAATTAGAAGGATTAATATTTTAGTTTGAAACTAAAAATTATTATAATTTTGTATAATTTTTTAATTATAAACTCTAAATATCCACAAGTAATTTTTTGATTATAATAAAAAATATTATTATATAATTTTTTAAATTGAACAAGATAATTTTTAAATTAAAAATCAAATTAAATTAAACTGTCACACAATAGAAATACACTTCACGATGATTGTTATTCCCACATATTTCCTTTTTATTTTTATTTTTTATTCTTTGTTTAAGACTTCCTTATAAATTACTAGTAGTTTGAAAGTTGTTCGTGGATCTTATTTAGTCCCACGAATAATATATGTAAATAAATATTTTATTCCGAAATAAAGGTTGCTAGAATTCCTTTAACGAAGTCTCTATCATCACCAGAACGTAAATAAATTCTAATAACATGCACAGAGAAAAAATCCTAGGATTTTTTCAATTTTATGGTTTTTTTAAATCTTCAATGTTTTTTTTAATTATTCATAAAAATAATTTCAAAACACAAATTCTTAAAAATATAAATTTTTATTAAGCTAAAATTGATTATATATATTTTTTCTAAGTATTCTTAATTATTTGACAATGAATGCTCAATTATTCTTACAGTCGTTGATGCTTGAACCTATGAACTCTAGAAACAACAACAATTCTTTTAACCATTGAGGTAAATTAATTCGAACTTAAAAATATAAATTTATTTTTTATTTTTTTACTTTTTGATATTTTTTTTAAATTTTGTATTATTATGTGATGTTCCGAGTTTTTAAATTACTTTTTAAACAAAAAAGTACTGAATAGTAAATAAGATAAAAATATATAATAGTTTTCATAGGACGACAATACACTGCTTCGGCTGATAAGACGCTTCCAAGATTGTCGTGGTGTCGACCATGACCATCAAGTTGCATTAGACATCTCTTACATATTTTAAATTAAAGGTAAAGTATACAAAATAATCCCTAAATTTTTAAGATTCTTGCATTTTTGGTCATTCAACTTTTAATACTTGCAATACAGTCACAGAACTTTTAGTTAGTTTTCAGTAAATTACCTGCCGTTACCTCCCATTAGTTAGGGTTGACATGGGAGTTACCTCTCGTTATCTTCTTCTTCTTTTTCTTCTTCGTGAAGATGGTGAAACACTCCAACATAATCGAATTACAAAAAGTTATGGCGAGCAAAACCAAGATTTACAAGAAGTGACGTCCATTCGGTGCTGTCTCTTTGCCCCAGATAAACTTCGCCGGATGAATGCCTGGACATGATTTCTATCAAGGAAATTTCAAGGAGTGTCTGCAACAGTGGCGGATCTAGAAATTAAAAAATGGGGGTCCAAAATTTTAATACCCTATTCTAAAAAAAATTGGATATGCAAATTTTCTTATTTTTTTCTATTCCTATTAACAAATTAAACTAAATTTAACATTTTTCTCAAAATAATAGGTGTGCAATGGCTCCCTAGGGAGCCACGTACATCCGCCCCTGGTCTGCAATTGAGCTGTTATTGTCCGGAGTGCCTTCTTCGAGCATGAACCGACGGCTTATAGTCGGGCGGTTTGGAAGGTAGCCTACATAAGGATATTGGCCGAAGTTAACCGCTGCATGGAGAGCCGAGGCCACCCATATGACAATGGTGCAAGACTCGATCAGGTCTTGTCGAGTCTGCATTTTAGGCCACCATGGCTCGTCTTTCTTGTCTCCATGGCCCTTCTCCCGGTCTTCTTTCCACCAGTCTTGAAGCTCAGGGTCTTGTCGAACCATTTCATCGGTCTTGTAGTAGAACGAACAATAATCTGTCACCTATTTTTCAATTGCAAACCAAATCTCCAATCCATCAATAGCATACGGATAGTTTTTATCAGCAGGCGAAGACCATTTGATGAACTCTCATCATCAATGGCAATCCTCTGAATCGAAAAGATGAAAACGTGTTATTTCCGCAACCGAAAAGCTCTAAATACATGAGAAAAAAAACTCGGTATCCGACCTAAAGGTACATTTTTTTGAGCTCTCTAGGAAGTGCCTGGTCGACCAAATTCCAACTCTTATAGATCGGTGATGACATTTCCATTGCATATTTTGCAGGGAAAACTGTTAATTCCAGGACTCCACCTCCATTAATCAGAATATGCCTAGCAAACGTATTGATGGTCATCGTGTCACGAAAGTGAGGGTGGAGAACTTTATAAATCGGATGAACCACACTCAGCTGTCGATTCGTCGCAATCACGAATGGCTCCATTGTTGCATGAGTGTTCAACTTGTAAACAAGAAGAAAAACGCATTGAAGATGCACGAGAAAAACGCCGAAAAATAGTTTTGGTGTTATGCTCTGCTGTAGCAAGAAGAAGAAGATACCGGAAGGTAAGTGCCACGTCAATCCTAACTAACGGAAGGTAACGGTAGGGACTTTACTAAAAACGAATTAAAAGTTAGATTTTTATATTGTAAGTTTTAAAAATCAGATGACCAAAATGAAGCGCCCTAAAAGTTTGGTGACTATTTATATACTTTACCCTTAAATTAATTTTCAAACTTCAAGACATTTCAACTACGTCCCTCCATCAATGTTAGAACATTAAATCTCAACTCAGACCCGACTTCTTGGATCAAAAATTAAAAGGCTGTGAAATAAAGCAACATTTAAATTAAACCAAACCACAACTAAAACAAAATCGAAATGCAATGATCTCAATCAAATACTATGCTAACTCGGAGGACTAATACAATACATAACCCATAAATTTCTTATCGCTCTCAAAACTCGGTAAATATCATCAAATATAATATAACTTATATGTGTATCTCTCCCTCCAGCCTGCGAAAGATGAACCTAGTGAACGATGTGTGTTCACTTGGAAGCACCATTGGGCAACTCAGCAGGTTTTACGCCTGATGGGTTCAGTTCATCCCATGCTTCGATCCAAGTCACCATTGCATCGGCGAGCTTGTTGAAGTAGTCGTCGACCTTGCCGAGTTTCACCTTTACTTGCTTCGAGATCTCGATATAGCATTTCTGAACCGTGGTGCAGTCCTTTGGAAGGGTGACGGATTGGAAGAACGGGATCAACTCTTCCTGCCAGTAAATCCCTTTGTATTCTTTCTTAAGGTTCACGAAAGGGTTGCTCGCCTTGCTGTGCCAAATGTATGGCAGTCCGGTCTTCACTCCCAATCCGAGGTGATCGCAGATAACCTGTGCATTCGAACAATGCAGTTTAACGATAAAGCTTATGGATAGCAAAGCAGATTAAAAAGAGATACCTTGGTACACCAGCCAGCCCACATATCATCATATCGTCCGATCGGCTGACCATCTCCCATGAGCCCGAAGTACATTGCCGGACCAATCAATTCCCGGTTAAATGCCAGATTCATCCCACACATGGGGAAGAGGGATCCCTTTGGAATCGTCATAATAGCATCGACGTACCTGATAGAAATTTGGAATATGATTTATTAGACATTATGAAGCACACAATGTGTAGGGCTATATATATACATACCTGGTGTTCCTCTCAAGTGGCTTGACAAGCTGTGTCGGGGCATCATAATCCGGGATGTTGAGCCAGAGACCGTGCGACACCGCAGTGTGAACACCCTCGCGGAGGCTGAAAGGGTAGCCACGAACAAAGTCGGCACCGTCTCGGTACGGGTCATAAAGAGTGTTGAAGAAGAACGGAGTGGATGGACAAAGGAGGTTCTTTATGTGCTGATCCAGTGCATTGATATCTTTGCCGGATGGATCCTTAGCAACCTGTATGCAAACATTTCACAGTCAGATCTCATGTAAATGCATCAAAAACAGCCAAAATCTAAAGAACATTCTAATTTTTAACATGTCAAACATGATTCAAACAGAAAATCGAAGATAGGGAATAGAATATAGCACTAAATTACGGCTACAGACATTGCAACATTATTTATTTTCCAAAAATAACTATGATGACCTTGAAAAATGCTATGATGACCTTAAAAAACGCTATGATGCAGCCGTTAAGCTGTGTTACAGCCGCAATTTAGTACTATGACGGTAAGTCCCACCGGATTCCCGAATCATGTCAAGATCTAAAATTGCATACCCCGAAAATTAAAGAAACAAATCAAGATCCAAAACTTGAAACCCCCATGCAAAATAGGATTCCAAAAACAGGGTCAAACTCAGATATCCATAATCAAGACTGTTTCATCTAGAGAGGGGAAAAAAACACAAACCCTGGATTCAAATTTCAAAAACAAAGAGTGAAGAGATGAGTGTTAAGCTTACAAAGCAATCATCATCAATGGTGTAGATGTACTTCTTCTTGGAGACCATATAACCAAAGCACCTGCAAGCAGAGTCCTTGAAAGATATACAAGAAGCCTTGGGACCCAAAATCTTGTTGATGTCGTTCCTGTTGTATAGCTCATAATCGAAGCCTTCGGGGACCTTGATGACCTTGGAAGGATCGCCGTCTTGGACGATGATGAGGTGGTACGGCTGGAAAAAGGGTCTCCACATCTCCAAAAAGTCCAAGTTCCTAATGGTAGGGATGACAATATCGAGTTCATCTTTCAACAGTGGAGTCGGTGAGACGGTAGCCATTGGAGGACAAATTTGGAGTTTTCAGAGCAAAAACAGGGGGAGGGATTGAATTGGAGGGAGGAGTTTGAGAGAGAGGGAAAGGGGAAATCGAGGGGTTTGTATAGGAGATGGAAGAGCATGGATGGCACGTGATAAGGAAAATGGGGTGACGTTTTAATTAGAAACTATGAAACCGCTCCACTATAAGCCTGTAAATGAACTGAACGTTCAGCGAATCGTTCATAAACTGTGCGGTGGGAAGTTCGTTTATGTGCGTTTATTTATTAAATGAACGAACATGAATAAGATTTTGTGTTCGTTTAATTAAATGAACGAACATGAACATAAGTCTCGTTCGTTCATTTACGTTCGTGAACGTTCAGTTATGTTCGTTTGGTTATGTTCGTTTGGTTATGTTCGTTCGGTTATGTTCGTTTATGTTCGTTCATTTATGTTTAACCCAATCTTCTTAAATCAATTTTGGTGACCAATTTGTAAGTATCTTAAAAATATTAATTAATTTGATATTCTGATGACCAACTCCATGATTAACCTAATTTTATTTGGAAAACCCAACAATACTAACATGGTTTAGTTCTTTTTGAACGATCCATAAGCTGCATAACCAGCACCGTCAACATCCACTGCGTCGGAACCCTATGTGATTGCGCCACCAGCTGGTTATCCGATGAGCAAAGAGGAGTCCCAATTTTCAACTTCTACATAGCACGAAGCTAAGGACATGTTTTGTTTGATCCCCAAGGATTAAGGTCGGCAATCACATGAAACACAATATGTGTTCATCTCGACTGTTGTTGAAGGAGAGAGGAAGAAAGAAAGTAGAGGAACGTTATACAATCCCACATCAGTAGCAAACAAGCAGCTCGGGGTTGGCAACTTATATAAAAGAAGATGGGGGAGAATAGGTTTAAGCATCTTTGCTTGGGGTAATGTAACACCCCTAACTCATATTCGACCCGAATACAAGTCCGAGATGTCACATTGACTTTTCAAACTTTGATTCTTAAAGAAAAATTTTGGGAATTTAAAACTTTCATTAAAACAAAATACTTTAATTTACATAAAAGAGACCACTTAATACAAAATCGATCAGAGCATTCGTAATTAACCAATTATTACATACCAACACTTTATACACAACAAAATACCTACTTTGTCAATTACTTCTGATCTGATTTCGTAGTAATGTTGTTGTCCGTGCCACTGCTATTCTGAATCTTCTTATTTCTTGGTACCTACGTGTAAATCACTTACACGCTAAGTCATAGACTTAGTGAGGCAATAAATGAATATGCAACAATATCTTCATGAATATGCATTCTTACCATTTCCTTCATGGCATTTCAATATGCATGTATCTATTACACAATAACATATATAAACATATCATGCATGTACAAAATTTACCTTCTTGTACCACTTTCACTTTACTTTGTATTTCAATTGCCCATGTATATTATTGAGAATAGAGGTATATGAGTACATAGAGGTTGTGCACTTGTAACACCCCCAACCCGTATCCGATCCGGATACGAGTCCGAAGTGTCACATTGACTTTTCAAACATTTATTCGTATAAAATAGTGAGTAATTTAAAAACTTTGATAACATTTAACTTATTCAAAACGTTTACAAAATATATATCAGAGTTCATACAATTTATGTCTTCAGACTACATGCCAACTACACTCTATATACAGTACCTATATTTTCTGATCTGACATTTGGTAAGGAAAACTGACCTGTCTTGCTCCGCATTACTCTTTACTCTTCTCGAAACCTACGTGTGAAACAATCACACGCTAAGTCGAAGACTTAGTGAGGCATAACAACTTATAATGCACTTTATAACATATATCAATACATGCATGTTCTGTTCTATCATGTTATATCAATTCCATGCATTCTTCGTATCATATAAAATCATATCCCGAAAGCCGGGTCAGTGACTAAAATGTAAATTTTGGGAAATTTTGTGCTCAATTTTGAAATAAGTTAAAAGTTTTGAGATTTAAGTAAAGAATTTTGATGATGGATTAAATAGCATAGATGGATAATTAAAGGGGCAATTTAGTCTTTTCAGCTTAAAGGATATTTTGTATTTCCTTTAAATACAAGTGATACACGTGGGTTTTGGGAGAGTTCTGGAAGCCTTCTTCTTGCTCTCTTCTTCTTCTTCTCGTAGCTCCAACTTAAAGGTAAGTTTGATTTTTAACTGTTAATTTCTGGAATTTATAAGTTGGTTTTGAATCTTTGGGTATTAAATAAGCTTAAGGAAAGCTTATATGGGATTTAAACAATAAGATAAAGGAATTATGAAGGAATTTACAATATGAGTTTTAAGATGAAATTTTGATATGGTATGGTTGTTGAAGTTTTATAGATGAATTTGACTTGTCATCAATCCAATTAAGAAGTATGAAGTGTTAGAATTGGAATTAGAACACATTGAAAATTTGGTATGATTTTTGAATCTCATATGGAAGATAGGATTTTGAGGTTTAAGATGAAATAAATGAATATAGATTGGTTTAAGTATGTATACTAGAGTTAAGAATGAAAAAGGGGATAATATATGAAGTGTTTGAGTGGAAATGAAGTAATTTTCGGGTTGAAAATATGATTTCTGGGCAAGGGGAATCGGTACCCATTCAAGGGGAACTGATACCCCTTCAACCGAACAAAATTTCCAGAATGTCATGAGGGAATCGATACCCGCTCAGTAGGGAACCGATTCCCCCTAAAGGAAAATGTGAATATTGGTTTAATAAGTTCGTTTAAGTTGCTAGTATCCAATTACAAGGTGTAGGTATCTAATGATTGCCTCGAAATGTACATTTATGTAGATTTTACGCATAAAGAAATTCCGGAACGTTTGGCAAGTAAGATCGATCAAGGGAAAGATAAGAGATTTGAATTGACTAGTGAGGCCATGTGAGTGCATATTCAATAGTATATGATGTGCGATGGGAATAAGACTTGCGATGAGTCTATTTCCTGAAGTGTTACACATGAATGCATGATTAAAGGCATGAATTGAATATGCATGTATGTATGCTTGATTATATGGATTGATCTGTTCTTTTATGTGTTAGATGATAAAGTATAAGTAGTTACATAAGAAAGGTTATGAATTATATGAGATATAAACTATGTGATCATAGTAAAATGTAATTATATTATTATATGATAAGTGAAATAAGTTGGATAA